AGTATTAAAACTACTTTGCACAAAATTCAATGCTCTATAATTTATACTGCTACTCTATAATTTCTAACAAAATCTCTTGCAAATGAAGTTACAATCACCAATACTTACCCCATAGTATCCTACTACATCTCTCTCTTAAAAAACTAAAACATATCATTAAACTTGTTAAAAAACTCACCTAATTTTCTAATATCATAAGTATTAACTAAAACATCTCTCAAATTAATAAACAGTTACAATGTGACTTTTAATTATTTACTTCCACCAACTCTTCCTATCTCCAACTATGGCTTCAACATACCTACTCTATTTGGAAACAATTCTATCATGCTTGTCATCTTGAAAACTTTTTTTTATTTTAATAATAAATTAATAAAGCCACTGACAAAAAATGTGTTACTTTTAAAACACATCCTATTTAGGCTATTAATAGCATTCTTATACACTATCATCAATCTGTTTATTTTTCAAACATAAAATTAGCAAATCAACTCATTACAAATTCATTGCTTATTAAACAACATGTCCAATCTTATTTTTATGATTGGACTGCACTTAGATCTATCAATAAAACCCTCTTTAATAATTTTTGGAAACAACAATACCTTTTACTTTCTCACATCAATCCAAATTAGTATTATTCACTTAACACTCCTATTATTAATGAAGAACTTCACCAAATGCTCTCACAACTATCTAATAACAAAGACTGTGGTCCTATAAGTATTAGTTATGAAATGCTTAAACACATTAGTCCCTAATGCATTTCTGCTATTACTGCTCTTTTTAATTATTGTTTTCTTAACAACAGAATTTCTAAGCAATAAAAACATAATAAAATTTATCTTATTCCTAAATACAACACCTTTGATGATAACCTTAATCTTACATAACCTATTAGTCTTATTGAACATATTCACAAACTTTATACAAAAATTCTTACAAACTGACTTAGTTTTGATTTTCTTTAAACTCTATTCTCTTACCTTTTAACTATGTTGCACTTCCCAATAATAGTACTTCAATTCCTATTCATATTCTCAATAATCTTATTGAAGATGCTATCTGTAATCACAAAAACATTTAGCTATTTTCACAAGATATAAGCAAAGCATATGATTCTGTAAACTTTGCTCTTTTTAAATATTTATTCTCTTGTCTCTTACTTTCTTCATCTATTATTAGCATTCTTACTGATTTTCTTACTGACTGTTACAACCAAGTTATTACTAATCTTGGTCTTACTTCCTCTTACCCAGTTTACAATAGTATTGACCAAGGTGAAACAATTACATCTCTATTATGGCAAATTTATTACATCTACTTATTTCATATATATACTTAAAAGTTCCTAGGTATACTCTACAATCTACTTGAATCACTAATCTAAAACTTTAAACAACTAATTCATTACAAAAACAATGCTCTGTTCTAGCATATATGGATAACACTCTTTGAGTCACTTTCTTACAAACTGAGTTATCTAATATATTATCTATAGCTAAATTATTTTATGCTATGGCAAACATCCAAGTTAATCTCTCAAAATCTATTCTGGTTACTAATAACTCTCCATTCCACTATGCTCATATCTCTTATAATAATTATCTATTTCTATTTTATTCTTTTAAACAACCCTTCAAATTTTAGGTTACTGGTTTACTTTAAATAATAGGCAATCTAAATAAACAAAATTAATTATTTCTGAATCCTTCCAACTTTTCCAAATTGCAAAAGCAAAATATATAACTAATTCACATGCCCACTATATTATTAATACAGTTATTATTCTTACTATTGAATACTGCCTATATAATATTGTTATTAAACAATCTACTTGCAACAAAATTTTCACTTAACACATTGGTCTTGTTAAGCTTAAAACTAAACTTTGCTGTACAATACCATTCAGTACCCTATTACATTCTTACATCTACAACATTAAATATATCTAAGATATTCAACTACAACTTCATATTCCCAATCTTCTTAAACAGCTTAATAATTCTGATTTACTAGGCACATCTACCTATATATATATTCAACAACTCTAAAACAACCTCTAGTCTTCTACTAATATTTTTCTTCATTCTAAGCCAACCATTGATGAATCCAATCGACTAACTATAAACTTCAAAATAATACAACTTATCAAACATATAGGCTGGACTTTTTCAACTAGCCCAATCTACAACATCTTATACACTCTAAATAATAAAACTATATCTCTTAAATTTCTTTTTCTTTTTTATCCAAAATATTTCATTTTCAAAAAACAACTCAGACACTATAAACTTCTTTTCTGGACCAACTCACTACTCATGACAACTCATATCTTTTGCACTGGCAACACATTTCATCCAGACTTAACAAAATTCCAAAAGATATTATACCACAATGGTTTACTACTCTTAAGGAAATTACTACAAGTTACTTCTATCAATGCACTCTATATGATTATTATAATTTACCTTCTATAAACTACTTATGCTGCTCTACTGGCCACTTCACTTCCAACACTAAATCTTGGTTACTTACTGTTCTTGATAATCAAATAATTATTGGCAAGACCAAAAGGCATAATATACTCACTGGTCTTATTCTTATCAACTACTGGCATTGCTTATTCTAGTCTTAGTTCTCTAATCTTTATTCTACTCTTCCCTTTACTACTATATTATGTACTGGATGTCACCTTAATTCAAATACAATTGCTAACAAATGTACTATTTTCATTTCTACTAACTTGGCTACTAAACTGCTTTATCACATCAGTTCTGACAAAACTCTCAACCTTCATGCAAACTTTCTTGATATTGCATACTCTGTTGCTCTTTGACATCCTTTATATATTCCACTTTTTCCTTTACTCACAATTAATTTACAACAACTAACTTCTATTTTTAAACATGCCAACTTGTTAATAATCTTTAGACTATTGTTAACTCAAATCACAATCTATCATCTATTTTATTTTATACTAATGATTCTGTTATTGATCTTGGTACCTCACAATGCTCTATTGGCATAGGTTGAGTTTAAGTTAATAACTCTACAACTATTAATTCATTTTAGATACAAGTTAAACTGTAGCCATGCTTCTTCAAAGCTGAAATTTTTGCTATTCTCTCAGCAATTATTACTGCTTCTAGATATTGCTCTGTTCACATATTCACTTACTAACAATTAGTAATCTCTAAATACCACAACATCTGCCAATTAGCATCTACTCTTTTCTATACTCATATCTCATATTTCTTTATCTGGCAAACACTTATTAACTTTATTAAGTCTTATAAAATTCAACTTACTTTTCATAAAGTTACTGCATATCAAAATGTTTTATTTAATAACCTTGCTGATCAACTTGTTCGTAATCACCAATTATTATCTTACTTTACATTTTTAACTAATAATCCTTATAACTTCAACTATACTTCTTTTATTGATGAATTTTTTATTGAAATTCCTATCTGACACTCTATTCAAATTATATGCCAAGCCTATATTATAACACTTTGGACATCTTAACATCGTTTTCAATAATGGTCTACTATTGCATCTGACATTAACTAGGAAGCTACATGGTTTTACATTAACAACAATCAAAAAATTTCTAACTTTGGCTATAGTTTTTATTTATCTATTCCAAAAACTTTTTGAGTTAAAATCCTTACAGATGAACTTCCTGTTCCTTATATTCTTCATAAACATAATTCTTCATTTCCTTCCTTTTGTCATCAATGCAACCAAACTAGCTCTTCATTTCATTGAACTATCTGCCCATCAACCCAAACAATTTACCACTTAATCTCTAATTCTCTTAATAGTATATTAAATACAACTAATCTTAATATGCCTGCCAATCTCATTTCTGATTTAAATACTGGAATCCTTATACTTAACAGTTTCAAACTGCATAACTCTTTATATATATCTTTTCTTATTTCTACTCTATCTGGTTTAGTTCCTATTGATCTTATTTCTACTATTCACAATGCTTCTATCTTTTACTGTATTACTAGTACTCTTTTTATCAAATTTCTTCTTCACTCAAACCAACAACTATACAAACAAATATGGATCCCATAATGTATTTCATGTTCTGCACAGTTTCAGACTATACTTCCTACTAATTTAACTCATAGTCATTCTTCTAGTCTACCTTTACCTTCTATTTCAATATCACAAATTATTACTAAAATTGATCTTTGGACTATCTAATAGATTAAATACCATACTTCTTTCTCTTATATTATTATTCAAACCCAAATTTTGGTGAGTCTTGACTACTTTTGTAGGTTTAGGTTGCAGATTATATGTTTGAGTCTTTATTCTTTATATGTAATCTAAAAGCAAGCTTTTCTTTGTAAAAACTTCAATTGAATTTTAATAAAGTTAAAGGCATGACCTCATTACTAATATTTTTTTAAAAAAAAAATAGAACCTATATACAAATTAAATATTTATAATTCAATAAAGCTCTAAAAACCATTTTCCTCTATTATTTATCTATTTTTTGAATATGAACTGACAATTATATTTCTAAAATTATTATTTTTACCAATTTTATAAACACCTTCTATTTTCTAATCTATGTTAAAATTCAATACCCACTTTATATTTACAGATATCCTCTTTATATTTAATTCTCTTCATATTGTTTTTAGAAATAATAAAGTCTTCTATTATCTGCTGAATAGAAAATATCATCTATCATATAAACTCATATAACAGGAAAGTGTTAAATTTTTTTATTTTATTATTAACAATATTATTGATAGTATTTTCTATATTGTTTCCTATTTGAAATATATTACTTATTGAAGTTTAACTATAATATTTTTCAAATGGACTAATATATTTAACAACATCTTCTACTGTGAGTTGTAATTTTAATAATAAAAATATTATTCAATATAACAATAAAATACCAAAAATCTAACTCAAAATCAAGAAAAGAGACAAAATCAGAACCATATTAGCAATAATAGTTTTAGTCAACATAATTTTATATTGATTTCTTTTACAACTAATGTATCATCTAATGGATCTTCTTGGTCAACTGATGAGAATAGAGTTTCAAGAACTTCTTCTTCAATAGTTGACCAAGTAGCCTCATCTTTTTCTTTCATTTACTAATTATCTTCTAGAAAATATAAATCATTGTTAATTAGATTTAAATTTTTTGGTTTTATGTTTTGATCAGTGTAATTGTTAGTTTTTTTGTTAAATTTTGCAAAGAATTTTTTTATAAAAGAAGTTTATAAATAGTTTTGTTTAATTTAGTTGTAAATTTATTTTTATTTGATAAATTTAATAAAAATTGTTTGAAAATGCTTGTCTTTAAATAAAGAAAAAGTAATTCTATCCTGGAAATAAAAATTAAAATTTTTATTATCATAAATTAATTTTTTATGATGAAAAATCTTGAATTCCAACTCTTTTTACAGATTACTTATACCAAATTTTTGCCAAAAACATTTAATTATTTCTAAATATTCTACTAAGTTAACTTTACTTGTACTATTAAGTAAAGTTGTCAAGCACACTTTTCTGCTCCTAAGTGGCTATGTTTTAAGTTTCAACAACTTCTGACAATTGAGAAAAGTTACAAAAACCAATAGTTTGGTTTTTGCTTATTTGTTCAAATTTTACTATTAAATATATTCTGTTCATTATTAGTTATTTACTCAGCTCACTAAGGTGGACATATTGATATATATTTTGTTTTAAACAAACAAAAACTCATCATGTTATTCACAAAAAGGCAAATCCTAAAATCTGTCTTTACAGGTTTTTTTATTGGCAATTTTAGGAAAATTTGCAGAAGTGTCCAAAAAAATTTACTTTTCTGGTACTTATTAAAATTTTCTAAACATCTAACCATCTTTTCCAAATACTACACATCTTTCAGATTCTTCTTAACTAGTCAAGAAACTACAAAACAGAAAAAATTCTTTTAGAAAACCTATATTTAACTATTTTTTTGTATAACAAAAAATTAAGTATTATTATTAGCTATACAAGTTATATAGATTACAATACTTATAATAGTTATAAAAAACTTTCTTTATGATAAATTTGTTTCAATTATAAAATGCCAACTCTCTTAAGCTCTGAACCTAACTCTGTCAACCTTGACTATTTTTATAAAAACTTTTCTAAATGTTTTGATATTGGAGTTTATGAAGAAACCCTATTATTTATACAGAGAACCAAGTTAATGACAGCCAGACTTAATGTACAGAGCAGACTATGGCACTCTTCATAGCTGTAAAAGCCAAGCATATGGTGAGTGAAACTACAGAAGAATCTTCCACTTTCTTGAATCCCATTTTATCATCAAACTTAAAGAAAGTATCACAAAAACCAATCCACAAGACATTATATGACCCAGACTTATGCTATAACCAATGGCTAGCACATATAAATCTATTGCTACTTCTACATCTACAAACACTCAACTCATTCTTAAAATATATCTACCAATACAACTTTATACAATACAATAATTTTAACTATATACTAAAACTAGCAATCAAACTTAACTATAGTAAATGTTATATATACCTACCATATGTGTCCCAACCCTTACCTGATTACTTCTTTCTACAATTATCAGATTATACCTACTACTTATCTATACTTATCTCCTCTAAATTCTCTTTAATTAACAATAATGCTCTAGATACTAACTTAATTATAAAGAACAATGAATTAGACAACCAAATAGTAGGAGCTATTTTAGAAGGCCATAATGAAACCACTATAGCTAACTAATACTATGACAACTTCTAATTTAATACTCGTTATAACAAATTTTTATTTTACAACTATATACTACTACTTCCTTACCCTCAAACTATTATTACTTTTTACAACATATCCATAGCATTGGCTACTTACATGATAACTTATATGGCTATATATTAACTATCTCTATTAAAAATGATTATAGTGAAGCTCATGTCTATCTTTCATCAGAACCCAAACCCCTACCTAATCACTTCATCTTACCAGTTCAAGCCATTTGACATTATCCAAATATCCAACTAAAATTAAACACATCAACATCAGTCTTTTCCATATCAGTAACCTCAGACTATCAGTTCTTTTTCATCTCTTATTTATCTTAAAGACCAGAACCTTCAGATTATCACAGCTTAGTTTTATTTTCTTCCAATAATCCAACACAAACAAATAATCCAATAACTATACGCTACTAACCTCTATCCTTAAAGATATGTATAGATAATGTAAGAGAATATAATAAAGATCTTAAACAACAAGTCTGGGAAGACTACTGTTTATCTTATAATATAAAAATTATTGCTATAACTGAAACAAAAATATCTCAAGATAATGCAACTATAAAATTACAAAAATCTTTTTATTATTCCTATTATTGGTCATATTGTAGTAACTCTAAAGCTAGAACTGCAATCATGATACAAAACTATCTTAAATCTTATATACACAACATTCTTCAATTTTATAATTATGTAATTGCAATTGATCTATTCTTCAAACATCATTTTAAATTCTGCATTATATCAATCTATCTATTATGTGATGATTCACAACTCAGACTTCTGGCTTAGAATACTATTATATAATGGATATAAGAAGCTGAACATAAAAATATACTGCCCATTGTTATGAAAGACTTTAATGCAACTAATAACTCTCAATCTTCTTTCATCAAATCTAAACTTTTATATTTTTTAAAGCATAATAACATGTATGACCTGGCCATCCATACTAATACTTTAACATCTACTTGGCATAGTAATTGATATAACAGCTGCATTAATTATATTTGGGCCAACCATTCTTTACTATGCTATCTCATATTATATACTACTAATGATCCAAATACTAGCACCTGTAGTGATTATAACATTCTTATTTCTATATGAAAATTCTCTTATACTTTTACAGGCAAATGAAGAGCTGCTACTAACACCAAAAAAAGAATATTTCAATACAAAAACATGAATAATAAATTTTGGCAAAACTTTACTGACCAAGTCTCATCTAATCTAAAATTAACTCATACTCCTCTCTCAACTCAGACAACTGTCTCTATTGAGGCAACCTGGCACAAAATTCAAACTAGTATTATCTCTGCTGCACATACACATATTTCAAATAAAAAATTTACTGTACACAACTTCCAACATATATTTTTTTCAAAAGCATCACAATTATACTTTCATCTTAAAAAACTTGGAAACATCATCAGACAAACTAAAGCCTCTATTTAGCAACAATCAGCTATACCTACTCAATACAATTAAACAATTCATGAACTTAACCTTTCTTATCTTCTTAGTATTACATCTATACCAAGTAACTATGCACTATTACCTGAATGGATCTTCTTAGCTAATACAGAATGGAAATTATTATATCATGCATGCAATTTAGAAAACATTAAAAACATTAAAGAACAAATTAATGATAACATAACAAAAAAATGCTCTAAACTTCAATATAAACCTACATCAATAATTAACAGTATACTTAATCAACACTGTGACCCTGTCAGATTTGACAACACCAAAATCGATACTGATATTATTACAGAAATTTCACTTATTAAACAACACATTTAAAACCACTTTGATCAATAGACCTCTTCCTGCCATATTCAAACTGAAATTTTTAACTCCTTCTGGTCAAATGAATATCAACTTAAAGCTAATATTGAATCTGACTAATACCAACAGGCTTTTACTAACTTTACTGAAGAGGAAATTTCTATAACTCTAAATTAACTTTCTAACAATAAAGCCTATAGTCCATTAGGTATTAGCTATAAAATACTAAAATATGCAGGCCCTATATTTATAACAGCTATAATTGCATTATTCAACAAATATCTTAAATTAAAGCACATACCCAAGCAATAGAAAGAAGAAAGAATATTTCCAATATCCAAAAAACCTATATTTGATGATAACTTTACTAATACTAGACCTATTAGCCTTTTAAACACATTAAAAAACTTTATACAAAACTCCTTAGTAATAGACTTAATAGTATCTTTACTCAATATTCTATTCTATTTCCATACAACTATATTGCTCTTCCTGATAATAGTACATCAATTCCAATCCATATCTTAAACAATACTATAGAAGATGCTTTTTGCAACTCTAAACAACTCTGGCTACTATCACAAGATATGAGTAAGGCCTATAACTCTGTCAACTCTAATTTTTTTTAAAAATCCTTATTATGACTACAAATGCCCTAACACCTCATTAAAATTCTAATTGATCTTCTTAATAATTACTATAATCATGTTATAATCAACCTTGGACTTACAAACTCTTGTACAGTTAAAAATAATATTAATCAAGAAGAGACAATTACACCATTCTTCTGGAGAATTTACTATGACCCTCTTGTTAGTAAAATTGCTAACTATTTTCATGAATACATTTTACATACCTTATGAAAACTAACCTCTCTTCATCCCAACTACAAAACTTACAAACCTCTATATCTGTACTGACATACATGGATGATATCCTCTGAATAGCACAGTTCAAAAATGAACTTAAATCAATTACCAAAATGGTATCATCCTTCTATCACATGACAGATATACAAATTAATTCTACCAAATCTATCCTGGTTTCTAATACATTATCTACCACTGAACTTTTCTTTTTTGATTCATTAATTAAACCTATTTCAGATAACCAACCATTTAAATTCTTAAGCTGCTGATTCACACTTAATGAATCTATGTCCAAACAAGGCCAGCTAATTTAAGCTGAAGCAACCCAACTAATTAATATTATCAGTACTGAAAAAATTACTGAAAAACAAATAGCATATATCATTAATACAGTAATTATACCAACTATTGAATATAGACTACACAATACTATTCTCTTACACTCTATATGCAATAGCATATTAGCCAAATACCTTAATATAGCTAAACATAAATTTAATTTATCCAGATTTTTTTCTAATAGCTCTATACTCAACCTATATTTATACAATATCTATAATATTTGGAACATCCAACTGCAACATCACATCACTAATTTTCAACAATAGATTAATGATCCTAATATTTTTGGTACAACAACTAAAATTAGGCTG